AAAGCTCATTTTTCTTTTTTTTTTTATTGTGCTTGCTTTTTTTTGTTCTTTCTTTGTTAATTTATTTAGCTCATCCTTTTATTTTCAAATTTTTAAATCTTATTATTTCATATTTTTTTTTCATTTTTTCCTTCTAATTAACTATTTTATGATATATTTTTTCTTCAATATTTAAAAAGTGATAATTAAATTGGCGACGAAGGTGCATCAGGCTTAGGTTCTGGTTTAGCAAATTGCATTAATCTCTCAAATTTGACACTTGACCTTCGGTAAAAACAGTTTATTTGTTTTGGATTGTGATATTTTGAATTATAAAAACTAATTAAAAACAAGAAAGCTCTTTTTTCTTTTTGTTTTTATTGTGCTTGCTTTTTTTTGTTCTTTCTTTGTTAATTTATTTAGCTCATCCTTTTATTTTCAAATTTTTTACTTTTACTATTAATTAATTAATCTTATTATTTCATATTTTTTCTTCATTTTTTCCTTCTAATTAACTATTTTATGATATATTTTTTCTTCAATATTTAAAAAGTGATAATTAAATTGGTGCAATGGGTGCATCAGGCTTAGGTTCTGGTTTAGCAAATTGCATTAATCTCTCAAATTTGACACTTGACCTTTTGTAAAAACAGTTTATTTGTTTTGGATTGTGATATTTTGAATTATAAAAACTAATTAAAAACAAGAAAGCTCTTTTTTCTTTTTGTTTTTATTGTGCTTGCTTTTTTTTGTTCTTTTTTTGTTAATTTATTTAGCTCATCCTTTTATTTTCAAATTTTTTACTTTTATTTTTAATTAATTAATTAATCTTATTATTTCATATTTTTTCTTCATTTTTTCCTTCTAATTAACTATTTTATGATATATTTTTTCTTCAATATTTAAAAAGTGATAATTAAATTGGTGCAATGGGTGCATCAGGCTTAGGTTCTGGTTTAGCAAATTGCATTAATCTCTCAAATTTGACACTTAAACTTAGGTAAAAACAGTTTCTTTGTTTTGGATTGTGATATTTTGAATTATAAAAACTAATTAAAAACAATAAAGCTCTTTTTTCTTTTTGTTTTTATTGTGCTTGCTTTTTTTTGTTCTTTTTTTGTTAATTTATTTAGCTCATCCTTTTATTTTCAAATTTTTTACTTTTATTATTAATTAATTAATCTTATTATTTCATATTTTTTCTTCATTTTTTCCTTCTAATTAACTATTTTATGATATATTTTTTCTTCAATATTTAAAAAGTGGTAATTAAATTGGTGACGAAGGTGCATCAGGATTAGGTTCTGGTTTAGCAAATTGCATTAATCTCTCAAATTTGACACTTAAACTTAGGTAAAAACAGTTTATTTGTTTTGGATTGTGATATTTTGAATTATAAAAACTAATTAAAAACAAGAAAGCTCTTTTTTCTTTTTGTTTTTATTGTGCTTGCTTTTTTTTGTTCTTTCTTAGTTAATTTATTTAGCTCATCCTTTTATTTTCAAATTTTTTACTTTTATTATTAATTAATTTATCTTATTATTTCATATTTTTTCTTCATTTTTTCCTTCGAATTAACTATTTTATGATATATTTTTTCTTCAATATTTAAAAAGTTAGAATGAAATTGGTGCAATGGGTGCATCAGGCTTAGGTTCTGGTTTAGCAAGTTGCATTAATCTCTCAAATTTGACACTTGACCTTTAGTAAAAACAGTTTCTTTGTTTTGGATTGTGATATTTTGAATTATAAAAACTAATTAAAAACAATAAAGCTCTTTTTTCTTTTTATTTTTATTGTGCTTGCTTTTTTTTGTTCTTTCTTTGTTAATTTAAAAAATTTATCATTTTATTTTCAACTTTTGCTTTTATTTTTTATTAACTAATCTTAATATTTCATATTTTTTAATAATTTTTTCATTCTAATTAACTATTTAATGATATATCTTTTCTTCAATATTTAAAAAGTGGTAATTAAATTGGCGACGAAGGTACATCAGGATTAGGTTCTGTTTTAGCAAATTGCATTAATCTCTCAAATTTGACACTTATATTTTAGTAAAAACAGTTTATTTGTTTTGGATTCTGATATTTTGAATTATAAAAACTATTTAAAACAATAAAACTTTTTAAATTTATTTTATAGTTTTTATTTGATTTATTTTTTTATCTTTATTATACCACTAATACTATTTTATTTATTAATTTAAGAAATATTTTTTAATTTAAAAGTTTATTCTATTTTGATATTTATTTAAAATTTACACAAAATTATTATAAAATATTAGCCAAATCAATGAATCATAAAAATTGAAAGTTATAAGCAAGTGTCTTAAATCAAAAAGATTAGTTGTCTTTAAAAAATTATTCTGATTATAAAGAAATCACGAAAAAAACTATGAATAAATATTAAATGTTTGATTAATATTATATAATATTTTGAAAATTTTTTTAAAATCTAAAATATAAACATATATATAGATTTTATTATTGATTTATATTTTTAAATATCATTCATTTCTATTTTTGTAAGTAAATAAATTATTTTTTAAAAATAAAAAATAAAATTTACTTAAATTAATTAATTCCTCTTAAACAACCCTTTAGTTTCTCCAAAAACAATCAAATAATTTGAAACTTTTAGTGTTATATTATTTCTTAATAAATTATATAAATGCCAAGCTTTTATATTCCAGTTATATTTTAGTCTGAAATATTATCCATCAATCATATTTCTATCTTTTTTTATTTATCATGATTAAATAAATACCATGATTTAAATAAAACCTCTGGGAGAAATCAAATTTTACTTTTTATTTTAACTCTTGTGGTTAAAAAATTTAATTAAAGTTTTGAATAGAAATATTTTAAATAATAATTAGAAAGAGGTTTTGCAATATATAAAAATAAACAGTATTTAAATACCAAAATGATTGATAAATAAAAAAGAAATTAGACATAAAGTTATTTAGTTAGTTATAAATTTATTATTTTTAGTATTTTATTTTTCAGTATTTATTTGCGTATGAAAGCTTAATATATCTTTTTACTAATCTTTTAATTTTGAATATTTTGTTGAGTAATCTGTAGTTATCTTGATTTCGAATATTATTATTTCTATTTTTTAAATTGAATATTTTTAATTAATTAAATTTATGAAAATGTTTTTTATTAAATTTATTTAAAAATAGTAATAGATTCTTTACTATAAATCAAGAATCAAAGAGTTAAGTTTCACACAGCTTTATAATTATTTTAAAAACCCTAAAGCACCTTAGATTCCAATATTGTTTGACCTTTTGTTTAATATTCAGAATAAGGCACATTTAAATAAATATAAAATTAAAATATTAATTATTTCTAAGAACTAAAATAGAAATTATCTTTTCTTAAAATCAATTAATTAATGATATCTCTTAAGATTCTATCTTAATTTAGAATTTATTAATTTTAGTTTTTAAATTGATTTAAATTTTACCAGCAATTGATTAGAAGATTCCTAATACTTCTACTTTTACTAATTCCTTACCCAAAATTAGAAATGCCCTCATCTCGAATTTAATTTTTCCTTATTTAATGAATTTATTTATTAATAGCATTTGATAAATATTTAATTTTATTATTTACCATAAATAAATACTAAAGTTAGTTAGAGATGTCATATTACCTATGTCATATCCAAAGCGTGCTATTCCATCATCATCAATTAAATTTTACCTTTTTAATAAAAAAGACTTTAAAAAGAAATGGCAGACAGAAATGATAATTAGCATGTTTTTAAAACAAAAGAATCCTTCCTTATTTTAATTCATATTTTATTTATTCAATTAGTAATAACTAAAATAATACATACCATAAATTAAGAGTAATTTATTTTAGATTTCTACAATTTTTCAATCCTCTTCCTAAATGTGAAATTCCCTTGCCTTCAATTTTGTTATCACTTTAGAATAAAAATATTTTTTTAAAAATAAAATTAAAATAAAAAGAGTAAATAGAAATTAATTACTAAAAATCTAAAGATAAATCTGTTAATTAGTAACAATTTTCCAAGCTATCTGATAAACTATGAGCTCCGCTTTCGCAAATATTATTTTCCCTTCATATTAAAATAAGATAAATGCAAGCTAACACATGTGTTTTTATTCAATTTAATAGTAAAATAGTTCTACTTTAAATCTAATGTCAAACTCTTTAACTTAGGAATAGTTTTTAATCCACTTCCTAATCCCATTACTCCTTCATCCCCAATTTAATTATTTCTTTTATTTGTGTTTACATAAAATATTTTACTTAAAGATATAAACTTTTAAATATAAATTTAAACAAATATCTTTAATAATAAATAATATTATAATACCCTAGATAGATTAGTAAAACTTCTAATTAAAGGCAGTTTCCTAATTAATTGCCTAAATTTGATATTCCCTGATGACTTATTTTGTTATTGCTAAATATAAAAGAAATTATTAATTAAATAAACACAACATGTCTGAAATAGGATTATAAATACGATAAATCTAGTGTCAAAGATGTTATGTATATACATTATGCTAATCCAATAGCTAAATTAGATGTCTCTTGATCAAAAAGTCTATTACTACTATTTATAAAAAGTAGTTATTTATATATCAATTATTAGATAGAATAATATATCCGAATCAATGTTTTTATCACAAACTTTTGATAAATAAAAAAAATTCAATAATTATTTGTTATGAGATAGTTGATTTATTTGTGTTATTTTAGAAACTTAATAACAAAAAAATCTAATAAAATATTGATTTCAGTCAATTGAAAATTAAAAATTGCAAAAGACCATATTAATCTATTCATTTTACTTATATTTTGTTATTTAATTGAAATTGTATTCAAAAAATAATAATTTAAATTACTAATTTAAATCTATTTAAAAAGTAAATAAATATGATTGATTGATTACCTTAAGTTAAGTGCCAGAATTCTTATTTTTTAGAATCTTTTTAATTTTTAAACAAGATTTTATAGGTTCTCATGATCAAAAATACTTTGACTTTAAATAAAAAAACATCAACAAAAACATCTTGATAACGCTAATCTACTTTTAGAAGTATAGCATAAGCTCATTTGTGTTAAAATTTGTCTCTGTTAAGAACTAATTTTAGAATATTTAAATAGGTAGAAAGCAAAATGATTTTATTTTTTAAAGAATACATCTTAGAACTTATTGTATTTTTTTAGTTGTTACTCTGATTCTACTTTCATTTTCTTTTTTATGTTTTTTCAAATTAATTTGATAATAATGAATATAAAAATATTGAATATGTATGTAGGATCTTTGCATTTAATACGGATTCAATAAATAAAAGTAGCATTTATTTAATTTATGTTAATTGTTTTCTATCTATTTTATTAAATATTTAAGGATTTCTAAAAATGAAATGCAAGAATCATTGATGCTTTAAATGATTTTTGATTATTACATAAAAATACAGACTTTACTTTTAAATTCTTTTACAGAAGAGCAAATAAATAAATGTATTTAATTAGTTAATTAGCCCTCCACAAGTTGCTAAGTAGGTTAAATTTAATTAATTAGCTTGAATTTAGTAAATTTGATTGTACTATAAATTTATATCAGTTAAAAAGGTCATTCATAAACACCAAAAAGCAAACATAAATTATTTACATTTAAATTAAATCATACTTACTAATTCTGAAATTCTTTGCATTTTCTTTTTATTTGAATTAATATATAAATAAATAAATGAAAGAATAAGCAATCTAGTTCATAATTAAAAAATATTTGTAAACTACTAACTTTAACATAAAAGCAAGCTAATTAGATAGCAAGCAAATAAGTCTAAATAAAATAAATGAATAAATAAATAAAAATTATTTATAAATAAATATTTTAATTTATTTAAGTTTCAAATAAAATATTTTTGAAACGTTAAACAATTTATGAATATTTAAAATTTTTGTAATCTGTCAATTATAACACAAAATCCAATTAATAAACAAAATTTATTTTAACGATCTCCAGATAATAGAGTAAACCAATAAATAATTCAGGATATTCCATTCTTAAAATTTACTATAATATTTTTGTATTTTTTCAAAACTCAAAAAATATTCATAAATAATTTATCTATTTATTTATTTATTCATCATAATTTGTATTGAAGGAATAAGTTTATTTGTTTGTAAGCTAAACAATAATGATAAGATTTTAAAATGAATTAGATATTTCTTTAATAATATCAATTAAATGGCTAATTACATAGCTTAACTTTAAATTTAATGGTATATTTTTAAGAATAATTTCAAAAAATTATTTATTCAGCAATTTAATGTAAGGCTTAACAATTTTAGGATTTAGCACATTAAAAATTGTAATCAAAAATTAAAGAAAAAAATAGATGGTAAAAGATATGTTTACTTTAACTAAAGGAAGCAAGGAAGAAATAACAATTTTAGGATTTTATTCTTTAAAAATTGTAATCAAATTAAAAATTTAGGTAAATACAAAGATTGTACTTTATTTTATGCAAATTAAAATCATCTAAAGTCTTCAAAATTTGATCCAATTATAATTTAATATTAAAAAGCTAAAGTCTTCGAAAATTTATCAGATAAATTTATGTTATTAATTTCTAGTTTTTGTATTAAAAAGCAGCAAAAATTGATTTGAAAAAATAAATCTCAAGTGGGAAAAAAAATTTTATAATTATTTAAGTCATTAAGTGATTATTGAATTTATACAAATAATCTAAGCACATTTCATAAGGGAAAAAGCAATAAGTAAATAGTAATTAAACAATTAACAATAACTCTCATCTTAAATCACAAACAAGCAAATAAATAAATTCATTAAAGTTATAAGATGAAGAAGAGTAAATAAAATTTATAATAAAAAACTCATGTTAAAAAAATATTTATTTATTCTTATTAAAAGATAAAATTAAAATCTTTTAATAAAATTTCAATTAATAACATTAAAACTAGTATTTCTAAGATAAATCTAAAAATAGTTAATAGATAGATGGATGTAATAGATAGATAGATAGATAGATAGATAGATAGATAGATAGATAGATAGATAGAAATATTATTCATCACTAAATTTGATACTGCTAATTAATATATTTTAAAATAAAATTTATTCTTTAGCTTTTTTGCATAAAATTTTTAATTTATTTTTGAAAAAAATATAATTATTTTAAGTAATATGTGAGTATTTATCTTTATTCAATGAGTATAAATATATTTATTTAGCTATGAAATTAGTGAGTCAGTGAATTAATAACTAATTGTCATCCTAATACATAAATAAATATCTCATTTATTTTACTAAGATTAAAGAAATTTTATTATCAATAGCTAGTTTAAGAATAATTATTCTTAGTTTTATTCATTAAAAACCTTTTAATTAAATTATGTTTTATTTATTAATTTAAAAATAAAATTCTTCAGATAAATTTAAATATAATAAATAGGTATAGAGATAAAAAGTAAAAGTTAATTAGTTAAAAATATAATTACTTTTTAGCAATATTTTGTGAGTATAATATTTAAAAACAAACCAACCATATTTGAAAATGTGTTTTCTGGAATGAAAAGGAAAGGAAATATGATAGATTAATAAAATGGAGTTTGGAAGATAATAATTAAAGAAAAATAAAATAGAACAATCGCTAAAATAATATTTATTTCTATCTCTTAAAAAAAATTGTTCATTTTAATTTAAAAAATATTTAAGAAGTAAGTAAATGTGTGAATATTATTAAGCATACATAAATCTAAAACAGACTAGTAAGTACTAAATATATCAAAAAGAGTATTTAAGCAGCAAAAAAGAAGTAAATAACATTAGATATATCTTATAAATACTGATCTATTTAAATGAAAAAAAATACATTGTAAATATATATATCTATCTTCATTTGCAAAATTAATTGTTTTTCCTTTTTTAATTTGTAGAAGAGTTATATTTTTTTTTCGTATAAAATTTACTTTAAATTCTATATATTCTCATATATTTTATAAACACTCCTCTGCCCAAGTTAAGTTTTTATTATTTTGTGGTTATTATAATAAATATAATTTATCTCGATTAATGAAAAATACAATTGTATTCATCGATTAATCAAAATAATTTTTAAAATATATATTTTTTCGCTTTCTCCATAAATATTTAAGTTTGTTTTTGAAATATTTACAATTAAAAAATAAAAATTAAAAATATATTATTAATTATATATTTTTACATATTATTATATGCTTTAATGTAAATTTTCTCTTAGAATTTTCAAATAAATTTATGCTTTGATTTAAATTTTCTCTAGGAATTTTCAAACTTATGCTTTTCGTTTTTAAATAAGATGAAAAATCAAATTAAAATTAAAATTCTATTTCAAAAAAATTAGAATAAAAAAATACATATTTGGTTTTATAAAAAAATATTTTAAAGACTAAGTAGAAATTAAGATAGATAGACTGAAAAGCCAATAAAAATGTTAAATTTACTTTTTAAAACTAGAACAAAAGGATAAATAAATTAATTGCATAGTTTTAAAATTACATTATCATAAAAAGAATTAATAAATAAATCAAACATTAAAATAGAATAAGAAGCTAAATAAAAATATGAAAATTATATTTTAAACTAGAACAAATAAATAAATAAAGAAATTACATATTTTCTTTTAAAATTAAGTTATCAGTAAAAGAATAAATAAATCAAAAATTAAAATAGATTAAGAAACTTCTTAATAAAAATATGAAAATTATATTTTAAACTATAACAAATAAATAAATAAATAAATAAATAAATAAAGAGATTATATATTTGCTTTGAAAATAATGTTATCAGTATAATACATGCATACTAAATTAATTGAAAATTATAGATGATTTCACTTCTTAATGAAATTTATAAATTTTGATCTTTAGCTTTATGAACTTAATACCATACCACTAAATAAAGTAAAATTGAAAATTAAAATAAATAAACAAGTAAATTATAAAAGAAAATTCTATTTAAAATTTAGAATAAAGATTTATTTTAAAAAATAAAAATAATTCTTTCATTAAAAACTAAATGAATGAAAAGATTAAAAATAGATGCTTTTATCAATCATAAATGAAATATGTAAATTTGAAACTATAACTAAATATTAAGAATTTTTTTAGAAAAAATTATCTAAATGATGTAATTTGTCTATATCTTAATTTACTTAACGATTTATTAAATTTTGAAATCAGTCAGATTATATCATCCTATTTACATTTGACTAAAAAATTTTTACAATCAAATCAATAGGATTTTTTAAAGATTTTATTAAAAATCAAAAGCGATCTCTTAATTAAAGTTCTACAAAGTAATCAACTTTGATATGAATGTACTTGGCCAATATTTAATTTTAGCGCAGATGTAAAAATTATAATTTTTTAAACACCTATCTATCTCTTAATGTAAAAAAGTTAGTAAAAGAATGTTCAGCCTAAGTTAAACGAAAAGCAGATGTTGATAAAATATATTTTTTGCTTTAGAAAGCTATTAGCAAATGCTTTTAACATTTATTTGATACTTGCTTATTGTAATAAAAATTGATTGATCACTGTATTAATTAATGATTAGATTAATAAATTAGCAAAGTATGGTAATAGAGTCTATTCTTTATAATTTAAGGGTGATTCTTCTTACATAAATCTTATATAAGAAAAATAATCAAAAAAATAAAGATAAATTAAAATAAAAATGTAAAGCCAATCATAATTTTATGTAGATGAGCTAAAGTCATATTTCTAGCAATAAGATAAATAAGATATCAAATTTGAAGAAACTATGCAGATATTAAAATTAGATAGTGAAAGTTCGATTAATAATTACATAAGTAATTCTTAAAATAGATGTTAATCAAATACCAATGAAATTAATTTGAAAAAAAAGACAATCGTGTTCAATAAGTAATTTAAAAGATTTAAAGAAACATAAAGTCAGCTTTTAATACAAAAAAAATATACTTTTGAAAAAGATTTGAGATTGTCATAAGGATTATTGATTTCTACTGAAGGAATAATCAGGACTGATTATAGTATTGTTTAGTTAAGTTTTGGTTATTTATATAATGCATCAATTGTCAAATTCTTAAAGAAATAATATATTGTAGAAGTTTAATATGATTAAATCCAACAAAATCATGAAATTTCACTTAAAGATGCTTACAATTACTTATGTAAAACCCCTTGTCAGTAAATATAATCGTCTTATTATGCCATATAAAGTGTTTATGAGTAGAAAAGAAAGTTAAGGACTGAATTAGACTCAATAAAAATTACATAGGATTTGATTTAGTTGTATAATTAATAGCTATATTTGTTTATGCAAAAATGCGATGCTTATATTGAGCAATATAACCAGTAAAACGATGGAGCAATCTTTTAATATTTTATAAGAAAAATAAATCTAAGCACAAAAACAGAAGAAATAGCCAAAGTTGGCTATTCGAAGTCTTTTTTAGATCTCATAGGAGCATCTGTCGATAAATTTTGCTCTATGCTTTTAAGTAATTAGAAAGTAGATCTAGTTTAAAACCAATAAGAAATTCTTAATCAAGCTATAAATGGGATCCATAAATATTTTAAAAATAATTTTGTTTATTCAAACTAAAGTTAATTAACAACATTAGATGGCTTTCGCTTAAATTTCAGCTATTCTATGGAGCATGTTGATTTAAGGGAAAAGTTTCAATTAAAATCATAATTACCTTTTAGATAAACTATTACAATAGCTAAAATTCAAATCGATATCTAAGAAATACAAAATTTAGTTAGTTTTAGGTTTTAAAACATGAGGAAATAAACCAATCTATCGTTTTAAGAATATATTCAATAAGAATTGTCAAATCTTTATTTAAATTCTGCATTTCCAACTCAATCCTAAGTATTTATATAAAAATATTATCAATAAAACATAGAAGAGATATACAAATAATAAATGTAAAATAGTTGATCATTATCTATCTGCTTAATATGCTCAAAAATATAATTAATCAATTACTTAATAAACAATAAACAAACAAATTGATCTGACCTAGAAATAAAATTTATATTAGTTAAAATAAAAATATTGTAAATAAGTAAAAGAATACTAACTTACTAAATAAATGAACTTAAAAAGTTTTTAAATTAAGAAAATAAAAAAGATTTTTAAATATAATTTAATCGATGAATATAATAAAAAATATGTATTCATTCATTCATTACCTATTGAATCTATCTGAAGAATTAATTTATATAAAAATACTATAAACATAAAAAAGAATAAATATATATAAATAAATAATAAATTTGATATTATTGTTTATCAATACTAATTTCAAATATTTAGAAATAAAAAATATGTTTATAAATAAATTAATTTACAAACAAATCTTCAGTTAATAATAAAAATTCTAGTTAAAAACTTGCTTAATTATTTGGGATTTAAATTTTTGTCATACAAATTTGTATAAATTAATTAACAAAAGCCTTTCAAATAATATTCCAAAAACAAAAATAATTTATATACAAATTAATTAATAGATTGATTGATTGACCATTATAAATTTGTTATCAATTTTTTTTCTTTTGAAAAAAATAAGTTTTTGGGATAGGTATATTAAATAAATAATTAATTAGTTAGTTATTGATTAGAAAAAAACTTTCTGATAGTATGTTTATTAATCTTAAATCGTAGTGCAAAATACTATCTGTATAAATATTTTTGATAAAATGATTAAAATTAACATCAGGAATATTGATAGAGTCATCAAAATCATTAAAATTCTAATTATTAATTTTTGATGATTTTTTTTTGGAATTAATTTTAAGAATCTGATGAAACTCAAAAAATAAATTTCTCTATTAATTTTACACTTTTTTATACTTAATAGACTCTTTAATATATACTTGGCAGGGCTTTCTATAGAATTATCAAAATAATCAATATTGCATTATTATTAATTTTTTGAGTTACTATTTTGGAATTATAAAACTTTGTTGAAAGATATTAACCAAAATATATATTTTTTTCTATTCATTTTTCACTTTTGAAGAGGTATATTTTAAAAACCCATGATTATTGACCAAATAATATTTGCGATTATTATTATGTCTTAAATACACAGACAATTCTGAAATTTCAAACAATTAATTTAGACACAAAAAAAATGTTTATACTGATTTTGTAAATATAAAAATAATTATTTTGTTATTTTAAATTAAAAGTGTAAGGAATATTTGTATGTATTAATTAGCTTTCATTTCATATTTGATTATTTTGATTGATAAAAAAATAACTAAATTAACAAACTAACTAATTAACAATTGATGGAAATAGAAGAGCCCTTTTTTGATTGTCAAGATGATATTAATTAAAGTTAAAAATACATAAATAAGTTTCCTTTATTTGAATTATTAGAGCAAAAGGATACGAGCTAATTGAGTAATAACGAGGATAGCTCATTTTTTTAAGATCAATTTTATTCTTATAGCACTTCCTCATAATTAATAAATTAGGATAAAAATATCTTTAATGCACAAAAATAAAAAAAAAGAAGAGCTAAAGTCTAAGAAAATTAGATTCTGAATACGAGGCTACTCAACCCATGTAGGACAATCAAATTTTTTTCTGGGATTTCTATAACTAATGATGGAATTTTGAGGTTTTGTTACAGTCTTAGTTAAATTAGTTTTGGTTTTTAGCAGCAATTAGTTTCATTAGTAGATTTTAATAATTAAGAAGGATTAGCAAATCTCCATCTTAGCATAGATCGTTCGCTACCAGCTTTGCCACTATAAGAAGCACTTAAATTTTATAAATAATTTTACAATTCTGATTTCATTAGAATTTCAGATAAATTAGAATCCTATGATAATATGATGAGCAAATTGAGGACATAAATTTATAATATGAACTTGAATGAAGATTGCTTTCAAAAAAAAGAAGAAGAATTTTAAGACTTTATTTAGCAAGCTGAATCTTATATTAAATAATATGCAAGAGAAAACCCTAATTAAATGTTTTAGTATACCTTTGGAAGAGTAAATCATAAACAGGGAGATATAGAAATTACGCGTGCAGGCTATTCTAAGTCATATTTATAGTTACTTGGATTGCATCCTGAAACGTTTAGAAACATTGCTTTGAGATAATAAAAAATCGAATTAATGAGAAATAAAGAAGACATATAAAAATAAAGTTTAGAAGGATTGAAGTATATTGGCCACAATAAAAAAGATTTCTTAAAAGACTGCTTTATTTCAGAAATTGTTACATTTGATGGATTTCCTTTGATACTTTATCAAACAAAAATTAATGTGCGATTACCTTTAAAGAAAGAGTAAAAAAAGTAGCTAAATTTGGAATACCCTTACATTTTAAGCATAACTTAGATGGATGTAGAACTTAAATAATTGTAAAATTTAATTCAATATCGACAAAAACTTTCACTAAATCCAAAATACCTTACCTTAGATGAATTTATGTAGAAAGAACTATCATACTAATTTGAAAGTGTGGAGTATTCTGTTCATTCTCAGCTATTCCTAGAAAAGTATTATTCAGATAATTTATAATAACTTAAAGAACAAGAACAAAAATTTAATTAATAAAAGTATGCAGGCTATAAATTTATCTAATAGAAATGAATCATTAAATCATTTTAATTATTTAAAGTTTTATTTATTTTATAAAGTATGACATCTAATTAATTAACTCTTTATTTAATTTTTTAATCATTTTTTAATCTCTATTCATTAATTACATCTTTAAAAAAATGTTAGTAAAATATATACTCTATAACATGCAAAAAACTGGAATTCAATTAGTAAAAAATAAATATAAATTATGGGTTTTATAACTTTTGCCTACTATATTTTTTAAATTTTGATCAAATCAAAAATTAATAAATTTACATAATATAATCAAATTTAATTTCATTTAAAAAATTTAAATGCTATTAAAAAAAGAATAATAAAACATTATTTGAATTTTAGAAAGGTAAAATAAAAGGAGCATTTAAAAATGAATGAAATAAGATAAATTTAATTTTTATTTGTTTTAAGGATGAATTAATAAACTATTTTGAAAAAAAAGTAAATAAAATTTTAGGATTATTTAACGAAACAAAGGATGCATATCTTGGCATAGAATCAATCACATTATAGATAAAAACGTTAAAATATTTTTAGGTTTTATAAATATATATATATTTTTTTGTTTTTCATTTAACATCTTTGATCTAGGTGGTTTGGTAGTATTGCTAGTTTGTTTAAGTTACGTAGTATTCACGAGAAACATTTCTTTCGATAACTACAGACTGAGGCTAAACATTTGAAGTAGTGGTTGTGGTAATAGTTTAGCTATTGACTTGAGGCTAAGGGGTAACTAACTCTTCTTTAACAACTACAGTTGTGTTAGTGGTTTTGTTGTAAAGACTCATATCAATAGTTTCATCACTCAAAACCCACAATTCAATTTGATCAATCTTTTAACATAAAATTTACTAAGAAATTGTTTACAATTTTTGAAAATTACATTCATAACTATGGGCTAATCACCACTTTGAGCAAATTCTGGCTTTGTAGATTTAATATAACTTTGTTTGTTGATTTCATTATGCAAAAACATCAAATCATTTTCTTCTTCTCCAAAGAAAACAACTAAATTATTAATTTATTTTAAAGGTTTATAAGTGATTAAGAAAAGTAAGGAAGTAAGTAAGTAAGTAAGTACCTATTGCTGTCTAGTCCATGTTGAAAAAGTTTTGTCTGCCACTTGTGTTGGGATAAACCTAGAAATTAGGAGTTAACTACAAAAATGACTCAGATTGGTTCTTGTACTTAGGTAAAAAGATAGCAAAACTTTATCTTTCTGTGTTACCTGCAATTGCCCATTTTGATCTTGATAATATGTGCTCTTCTTCTTCAACTACTTAAGATTTTTTTGCCAAATGACTAACAATTAAAAGGAGATTTTAGTTTCCAAATGTTTAAATTGCTTTGATTAAAGATTCAAAATTGTATCTGTCTTTCTAACCATCGTAAATAATCTCACGATTAGGGAATTCAGAAAACTAAATTGATATATATTAATAATTTATAAGTTTATTTAAGTTATGCTATCTAATTTAATTCATACCAAATTAACATTAAGAGATAAGTTTGTTAAAGTATTGTGGTCTAGCAAAGCACTTTATTTAGGAGGATGGTGATTACCTTCTTAATTTTCTTTGTATTATTTTTTATGATAGAAAGTATTCTAGAAGTAAGCTAATAATAATTTGCTTAAGTTTGGGTGTTTAGTAGTTACAGCCACAATAAATTCAGAGAAGCTCATTTCATATTTATCTCCTAATTAATTTATTTTTCATTTATATTTAATTTAATTTATAAAGAAAGAACAACTTAAGTAAAACCTTCATACATACATACTTAAAATTGTTCTTTTCATGATAGGTTTTATTTAAAATACATTAAAATTTATTCTTTAATAAAATAAATAATTTATTCAATAATTTCTTTTACCAAAAATAAATGAATTGTGCTTTTTAGGAATTGATTCATCTCTGTCCCACTTGTATTTACCATTTAAAGCTCCAATTACTCCATGAATTTCCTAATCAATAAAAAAATTTTTTAAATTAAATATTTTTATGTTTTATTTGTTGCTTTTAGAATGAATTAATCTAATATTTTTCATTGGTGAATTTATTCTAGAAAAGAAATAAATAAATAAATAAATAAATAAATAAAAAACTTTCTTCCACTATAGAAAATAAAAAAGATTTATGAATTTTTGATCATTAAATATTTTGCAGCAAGTATGAATGGGTGTTTTTTACTTTATGAAGATTTTCTAAGTAAATTATAAATTTCAATAATAATAAAAAATATTATTGACTGACTGATTGATTGATTGATTCATTCATTCATCTCTTGAAGATTTTAAAAAGTAGAGATTTCTAATGAATGACATTAATTAATTTCAAAATAAATTGGGACCGTTTTTAATAAAAAACAAATCACTATTAATTAATTGATTGAATAGATTATTGATATTTATTTAATAAAAATCAATATAGATATAATGAATGATAGATTTACAATAAAAAACTCAAGACCCATTCTATAATTGATCTTAAGACGGCTGATATATTCTTTGTCGGCTTGTTTATTTTTGGTGAGACTGGAATAGAATGAGAGCAAGCCAAACATTTCAACTATCGAGTAGTCTCTGTATCTAATATCTTGTCTTATGTAAGTTGTGCCTTGCAAAAAGAATTCCACTTTTTTAATATTTGTTTGATTAACAAAAACGATTCAAAAATAGATCCGAAAATCTAAATTAAATGCTATTAAGAATCTTACCAAAATAGAGGAAAGTGTCAAATGTTAGGCTCTGGCTCACTGACTACTCTGATAAGAACTGATGGATCTTTTTTCCCAACTCTTTGTTTGGCTTAACAACTTTTTGTAAACCTCTAGAGCTAATGTAGGATCCTGATTTCCTATTAATAGAAGAATTAAGTAAATTCAAATAGAGACATGTATCTTAATAAGTATTTATTTATATTACCCGTCTTTTAGCTTAGAGAATTCACAAAAGTTGTTGTAAATTTTATCGATCTGTTCCTATGTTAGACTGCAGTCTTAAAAATTAGATTTTTTTGAAGGATTTCCTCCCATATTTATTTATTTACTTATTTATTTATTTGTTAATTAATCTATAATTGATATGAATTTTTAATATTTGATTTAATTTAATTATTAATTTGTTGTATCCATCCTCTTCTTAACAAAAACGAGCAGCAATTTTTATTTACATCCTAATTTATTTATTTATTGTTTTGTTTATCGTTGATTAGTAGCGTAGTTGTTTCTTTTGTATGCTTTTATTATTATTTATTTGATGTTATAAACAACTCTTATCTAATATAAGAATACTTAAAACATTTTATTCAATTTTTTTTCATTTTATTTGAGATCTTACTTTTTAGAAGTCATCATAAAAAAACCAAAAACAAATATTCTATTTTTGATTTGGTTACATTACATTTTTATTACTTTTTATTATTGCATAATAGCATTGATTATTACTTAATAATATATACATCTATCTATTATCTTTATATTTATTCTTACATGAAAATATCCACAAAATCTAATATTATAACAAAGATAACTTTGTTATTTTCTATAGTAGGAATATTTTTACAATTCCACTTTTTCTAATCACTTAGAATATTAATTTCATTTTAAGTAAAATCCCCTATTTTTTAATATCATATTAAACTCATTAAAAAAATAATCTTTACAAAATAGCAAATAATCCAAATTACCAATTAAAAACAATCCCCTTTCAAATTAATCAACCAATTTATATTTTATAAATCAATAAAGGACTAAATTACAAATTCCTTCAGAGAGATAAGCTTTTTTAGTAAAAGATTTATTTGCTTTTAGCTTTAAGTGATAAAATAATAATATACAAGTCTTATTTAATATTTATAGAACTATTAAAAATATTATAAAAAAATATAAATTTAATTTAGATTTTTTTAGTTGGAATAATAATTAAATTAATAAAGAAATAGTTAATTTTTAATGAAATATAACACTATTGCGTTGGAATTTATCCTAATTTATTTAGATTTTGATACTAACGAAAAACAAATTTATTCATTAAAATATTACACAAATTGCTTATAATATGTCTATGATATCTTAATCCTTTCTTATTTATTATTCTTAAAATAAAATTAATTTCTTCAAATAAAATTAAAATATTTATTTTGAGTTGAAATATGGAATTTTAATGTGTTATTTTTAAAAGAATGATATCCTTTGACATAGTTGTTTTTTTAATAGAATTATTCCTATTTTTATATTTTTGCAAACATCAAAGAAAAATCATAATATCAATACAAAAATTTACAATTAAGATAGATTAATTTGTGTTTGTGGGTTCTAGCTAGTTTACTATTAATTATTATAGATATTAAACACTTTTTTAGAATCTATTAGTTAAAAATCAATCAATAGCTGATTATATTTATAATTATTATACATATATAATATTAGTAAATGAGTATGTCAGTATTCATGTAAGATAATAATCCGTTTACAAGCAGCTCTTAAAACATCCAACAATAGGAGAAGTATTTTACGATCTTTGATGAAAAATTATAACTTAGTAATAATAAGAAGGTTAAATAGTTTAAATATGAAAAATAAATCGATTAGAATGATAAAAAATAAAAATAGAATTAAGCAAGTAAAAAATATAAAAAATCATTCTAAATGATGAAGAAATTTAAGTAAATTAGAAAATAATAAAGAAAAGACCATAATAAATAGACTTAATTTATAGAAATTATAAAAAGAGTTTGCTAGGATGAAACGATTAGATTATCGTTTGGAATTTAAATACACAAAGATGGAATTATTAGGCTTAATTACTCTGTTAATTGTTTAAGTTTTGGGTTTAATTTCTACTAAAATGCAAACGTTAGCTATTCTAAATAAGATTCAATTGTAGAAATTGATTTATCTTTAGGCTAAAATTTTCCGAGAGCTACTGCCAATTAGGCTATTGAATTTATATCTTAAACTCCATGCAAAAAATTAAAATAGGTCCAGCAGATTTTGTAAAAATATTAAGAAGTAAGGGAAAATGAGTTCAAAAGAATTTTTTAAGTGAATGTTGATAACAGATTTAAATAGAAATATGACGATGAAACAAGTTAATATGTAGAATCTTGCAAAGAATATATTTAAGAATACTAAAATTAAAACCCAACTCAGATATTCCAGTATGCTATAGGTAGAGTAAATTACGAGTATGAAGACGTACAGATCATTAAGTTAGGTTATTCAAAGGCTTTTCTAGATTTAATTGGAATAGATATTTCTAGTTTCACAAGCATTCTATTGAGACATTAGAAAATTGACTTAATCCCTGATAAAGAAGAGATTATGGAAAACAGCTTAAAAGGTCTTTAGTATAGGTTAATTAAATTACAAGAGTTGAAGTATGATTGCAAAATAGTTACATTTGATGGATTTCCATTAAGAGTCACTCTTAAAAAGAAATAAGCTTTACCTTCATATTAATCAAAATAAATAAGTATATTTTTAAAAGAAATGTTTTTATCTATTTCAGAAATTGATGTTAATTTAGATGATTTATATAATTTGATCATTTATAGAGAGAAACTTTTGCGAAATGATAACTCATTATTAACATTTGATGAATATATTTAAAAAGAACTTTCTTTAGCCTTTGAAGACGTAGAATATTCAGTCTTTTCTTAGTCTTTTTTGGAAAAATATTATTCCTAAAATGTCATTTAGCTAAAAGAAATCTAATAAAAACTTTTATAAAAAAATAATTTTGTGAATTAAAAATAAACAAGTTATAAATATATTCACAACCAATATACTGATTTTAACCCAATTAAAATTATTTCCTCTATTAGATGATTTGTTTATATTTTTTATTATAATGTACAATTTAAATAAATTTATATATAATAAAATTAATTAATAAATGAATGAATGAAGGTGATTTCAATTTTTATTTGAGTTGTGCGCTCAAAGTGACAATTGTGCAAAATATCTATAAAAAATTATTCGCATATGAAAGTACGCATAATACCCTAAATAGTATTACTAAAGTTAAATTATTTAAATAATTTTATTTTTACAATTTCATTTAATTTTATTTATTATTTGTGAATTTAAATATTAATTTCTTTAGAGATATTTTAAAAGAAAGGAAATAAAATAAATTTTTTGTAAACTTATTTTTGATTATTTCTAATTACCTTTTAGTAAAAATTTAGTCTTTAATTCTACTAAGATAACAATTACATTTAGATGAAATATAAAGTAAAATTAATAAGCTTTAAATAATAACATTATATTACCAAATTAATTATAATAAGTAAATTTATTATTATATTTAATTTTATGATATATAATATAAAATACTTTAATTACTTATTTTATATGATGCTTTACATCAATCATTTAATTAGTACAGACATTTTCTAAGAATATTGATGTTATTTATATTATATTATTTTAATCTTAGTTTAATTGCTATTTACATTTAAGCTAGCTAGTTATTGAATTTATTTCAGTAGCAAAAAAATGGCAGAAAATAATTCACCTAATTTTTTAAAATATAAAATAAAGAATTTTATTGGGGAAAATGTTTTACTATAAGCAAAGTGGGGCTTATGATTTAATGGCAGAATACAAATAAAAATTAATAATTTTGTAAAAAGCTACCTACCATTAAGAGAAAATAAGAATTATTAATTGTAATTTCAGAAACTATGAGCAATAATATATGAACCAGTAAATAAATACATGCAGTATTAATTTTATTAAGGAGTTCACATTTTACCGGAAAATAGTTAAAAATGATGTAAAGACAGACTCCCTCAATAAATAAATTTAAAATAGAAAGAAATTATAATGCATATAATATAGTGAAGAAGAAAGATCGTCGTTTTTGATTGAAATATAAAAAGAAAGAAAAATTGAGAGAGAGCAATTTTGGTAAAGCCTAAAACGATACTATTTAAAGGTACTTACTTGTTTTATATAATAAAGATTAATACAAAAACTGATTCTGACAACGAAATCAATCAGTTCATAGAAAATTTAAAATTTAGAATTGAAATGAAAATATATTGATTTATTTATTTATTTGCTTGCTTGATAATTAATTAGATCAGATATTTAAATTTCCATTTATCTAAAAGAAAATTTCAAAGTAAATTTTGTTTATGTGTTGAATTATGTGATATTTCCTAAAATTTCAATAGCACAATAACCACCTTTTAATATGAGATAATACGCTAATCAAGAGATTAATTAGTGCGCAAATTTCTGAGATAAAAAAGAAAGAAATTCTATCACTAAAAATTTTCAATCTATTGATTAATTTTCTAAATTAAAAAAGAAAACAAACTCTTAATTGCTAAACAAGTTAATACTCCTTCCTGATAAAGAAATTATGTTCTAAATTGACATTAGTCTCAAGTCCTTTCAAGGTGATTAAGCCTAATAAAAAAATTTCATTTTGTAAAAGTTTTCTGACATCATTCCCATTTCAATCATTCCTGTAATTTATTAGAATCCACTTTAAAACGTTTCTTTTTAACTATTTTTTTATAGCTGAGTGAAAACATTTGGCAAGTAGGATTTAATTCTGAATAAGCAAAGGAGAGCTCTTTGAATATTTTAAAAAATGATGAATCCGTTACAATAATCAGCGATTTTGCAAACATAGATGAAACAGGCGAGTACGAAATTATATACAAAGAATAAGAGTAGAATGCTATCTAAGAAAGTAAACATTTGGTTTCTTATTTCATAATATATAAAATAATTATTTGTAGCCAGCAAAAATATGCAACCCAATTCATTTTCTCAAAAAAAATAATTCTTTAGATTTTATTTTTGTAACATTTTCATATATAAATATAGAACAAGAAATATAAAACAAAGAACTTAAAATCCCTCAAAGCCAATAAGAAAATGTTGCTAAATCAAGTGAATCACTGTAAAATATGAGCTTCACTTCTGATGATGATGAGAACAGCAAAGAGTAATCTGATAATAATAACTAACAAAAAAATAGTCAAAAAATGGGGTCTTCTCACACAGTAGAGTCTGTTTAGTCAACTGAAGACATCAAGGAACATATCCAAGCCTACGGAAACAATCTTGAGGCCACATTAGTTTAATCTCCTCTAATTTCAGAAGAAGAAACAGATGATACTAGCTAGAAAATTTATCAGAATATATCATAAATAAATGTCTCTAAAGAATAAAGAAATGCCCTTTATTCTGCTTTTAACCAAGCATCTTCTTATCTAAAGGAAATTAACAAAAATTGGGTCTGTGATGAATAGCAGAAAAATGAAGATTTGTTCAACAAAAACATACTTTATAATCCTAAATACCAAATACTAGCTTTAGGATTATTTTCTATTTATATCTTTTTCCTTTGAAACTCCTTATGATTGTTCATAAAATAAACAAAAAAAAAACAAACAAACAAAATCAAAAAACTAAAAAATATATTACAAACCTGATTGATTGATTGATTGATTGAATACTTTCTTATTTAAATTTCTGGTAAAGAATTTAAAAAGAAATATTTGCTAGCCACTATCAGAAATTATCAATAAATAAATAAATAATTTACTTATATTAAATCCACTCTAATATATCAGCTTCAAGCGAATCAATCAATCAATCAGTTAATAGTTACTAATTCATTTTAAATATATATTAATTAGTAAAATGTTCAGATTCTACTTTTTGAATATCTCAACTAGTAAAAAAAATATTATATATAAAAATCTTGAAAATGATATACTTCATTTAGTTAAGATGAATTGATTGATGATATATAAATAAATAACGAATCAATCAATAAATCGATTAAATAAACAAACAACAAATACTAGCTTATGAAACACTTTATAATATTAATAAACATATTAAAATTCAATACTTTTTTTATTGGAATATATTAATTAAACTTGTATATTTCTTTATGTTTTATAAAAATTATTCAAAAATAAACTTTTATTGAAATATAACAAAATTCTACTTTCAAATATTATAAATCCAGCTTATAAATTCCCTTAATTTGTAAACATATTTCTAGAAAATTATTAATTCAAATAAAAAATAAAAATTTATATTTATCTTTAGCACTAAAGATTAAAGCAAATTTAATTTGCTTATCATATTTTATATATAGAGTTTTGCAATTTTAAAAAAATAATCATCGCTATATATTTATTAGCGATGATTGAATTAATATACCCAACCCAAAAAATTTAATTTATGCCCCAATTGGCCAGCCCTATTGTATCATTGATTTTCTAATATATGTTTAAATTCAAAAAAATTTAATTACTTTTTGAATTTTCTTATTTATACTAAGCTTAGCTAATAAATAAATAAATAAAATCAAATATATGTAATTAAATTTCATTTTGCAATAAATTTTATTTTATTTAATAATTTATTTATTAATATACAAAGATATGATATATAAAAATATAAAAACAGTAATAAAGATAGATATATATCAATATTAAATTACACAAAATAAAAAAATAAAATATATTATATTATTCAAATATTTTTATATTAAATTTTCCTTTTTTCACCACTTTTTATCACCAATAATTAATATTTAAGACAACTAATCTTTTTGATTTGAGGCACTTTACTTTAAATTATTAATTTATGTTGATTTCTTTGCAGCTTTTAATATAAATTAGTGTAAATTACTAAAAAATATCAAATAGAATAAAAATATTAAATAAAATATAATATTTTAAATCTATAAACAAAAATAAAATTAGCAGAATAAAAATATAGAAAAATAAATCAAATGGAAAGCTTATAAATAAATAAATTAAAAGAGTCAGTTAATTATATTGCTTTAAATTCATTTTATATTAAAAATATCACAATCCAAATAAATAAACTTTTTTACTAAAAAAAAAGTGTTAAATTTTAGAGATTAATGCAGTTTACTAAACCAGAACCTATGCCTGAAGAACCAATTTCACCAATATTATTCTTGCTTTTAAATATGAAAGAAAAAAATATAGTTAATTAATTCGTTAGTAGGAAGGAATCAAAAATTAAGAAAAAATATGAAATAATAGGTGGGTGTTGTTTATTATATGTTGATTTTAAAAATGGTATTTTTAGGAAGGTAAAATTATTTAATAATATTTATTTTTTGGAAAATCACAACATAATAGCACCCACCCAATAAATTAATTAACATAGAAAGAAACAAAAAAAAACAAGATCAGAATTAAAATAGAAAAACAAAAAAATTCAAATTAAAAAAACTAATAAATAAATTAAAAAGAATTAGTTATTGTTTTAAATTCATTTTTATATCAAAAAATATCACAAATAAAAACAAACAAAAAAAAAACTCTTCTTACAGAACATTAAGTTTCAACTCTGAAAGATTAGTGCACTTTCCTATATTATAACCTAAACCTGATGCACCAATTCCACCAATATTATTATTACTATTTATTTGAGAGAAAAAATATATAGTTGATGAGAAGGAAAAAATGAAGAAAACAATGAAATAATTAATAAGAAATCAATTCATTCATTCATTAATTAATTAAAAGCAAATGTTGAAAATTATAAAAGGACTTAAATTAACAAAAGACAAACAAAGAAAAAAAACACAATCAAAATAAATAAAAGCATAAAGTAAAAAGCTAATAAATAAATAAATAAAAGAGTTAGTTCTTTAATTATATTATTTTAAATTGATTTTTATTTTCAAATATAGCACAATCCAAAAAAAACAAATAAACTGTTTTTACTAAAGATTAAGTGTCAAATTTGATAGATTAGTGTACTTTCCTAAGCCAGAACCAATACCTAAGGCACCAATTTCACCAATATTATTGTTACTTTTAAATATTTTTAAATATTGAAGAAAATATATTTAGATTATTTATTTGTAAGTTATAAAGAAAAAATTTTTAAAAATAGGAAACAATAAAAAATTAATTAATAATAAAAGCAAAGTTTTAAAATTAAATAATAAGTTTAATTAACAAATAAATTTAAAAAAATAAAACAGAAGATTTAAAACAAAAATTAATCAAATAAAAAGAGTAGTTTTTTTGATTTAAATTAATTTTAAAATCAAAACCCAAAAATAAACTGATTTTACCAAAAGTAAAGTTCAATATTTGAGAGATTAATGCACTATCTTAAACCTGAAAATAAACCTGATACACCTTCATCACCAATATTATTATGACTTTTTAAATATTTAAGAAGAAATATATAAAGTTAATCAGTTAATTAGAAGGAAAAAATATGAAATAATAATAAATTAACTAATTAATGAATAATAAAAGCAAAGTAAAGTTTAAAATAAAAAATGAATAAGTTAAATTAACAAAAAGTGAAATAAAAACAAAAGCTTAATAAAAAAAACAGAAAAAAAACAAATAAAAAGCCAATAAATAAACTAAAAGAGTTAGTTAATAATATTGTTTTAAATTCATTATTATATTAAAAAATATCACAATCTGAAACAAATAAATAAACTATTTTTACTCTAAATTAAGAATTAAATTTGAGAGGTTAGTACACTTTCCTAATCCAGAACCTAAGCCTAATGCACCAATTGCTCCAATATTATTGTTCCTTTTCAAATATTGAAGAAAAATTAAGTAATTAATTAATTAGTGAAAAAATATGAAATAATAAGAAGTTAATTAAAGATAGAAGTAAAAGTTTAAAATTAAAAAAATAAATGATTTAATTTAACAAAAAAATATAAAAAAACAAACACAAGCAGAATAAAAAAATGAAAAATTAATCAAATAAAAAGCTAATAAATAAATAAACTAAAAGAGCATTTTATATTCAAAAATATCACAATACAAAACAAACAAATAAACTGTTTTTACTAAAGATTAAGTGTCAAATTTGAGAGATTAGTGCACTTTCCTAAACCAGAACCTAAACCTGATGAGCCTTCATCACCAATATTATTACAACTTTTTAAATATTGAAAAAAAATAAATAGTTAATTAGAGTAAGACACCATTTCTATTTACAAAAATAAGCAAAATTTAGTATTTTGAATTAATTAAGTTAATTTACAAGTTTTTTGGAAATTATATTTTTTATGAAATATTTTGAATTTTTCATTAAAATTCTTGTAAATCCCTTTATTTCCTAATAATTAAATTTTTCAAATTTTTAAGGATTTACTTATTTTCTTTATTTCGTGAGTAAATTTAATATTAATAAACTTCCAATCAAAAAAAATTTCGAAAATTCCACCAATTTTTCAAAAACCAAGTAAGATTTTTTTAATTAAATCAATTTTTTTTACACTAAAGAATTGTCAAAATTATTTTTAATTAAATATGAATTAGGATAGCTAATCCAAAATTAAAAAGGCATTTTACTCTTGTTAGTTAGAATTAAAAAATAAAGAAAAAATATGGGATAATTATAAATGAATTAATTAATTGGAAATAAAAGTAAATGTTGAAAATCAAAAAATGAGTTAAATTAACAAAGATAAAAAAGTATTTTAAAAAAACAAAAAATAAATCAAATAAAAAGTAATAAATAAATTAAAAGAGTTAGTTAATTATATTGTTTTAAATTCATTTTTATATTAAAAAATATCGAAATTAAAAACAAACAAACTGATTTTACTTAAGAATAAGAATCAAATTTGAGAGATTAATACACTTTCCCAAACCAGAACCTATGTTTGGTGCACCAATCAAACCAATTTTATTTGAACTATTTAAGTATTGATATTTAATTAGTTAAGGAAAAAATGAAGAAAAAATCTAATAAAATTAATAATTAATATACAAAATAAATTTAATAAAAAATTAAATTAAAATAATGAAAAAAATATTTTAGTAAATAAAAATGAATGAATAAATGAATGATTATTGAAGAGTATTTCTAATATTGTAAATAAATTGAAAATTAAAGATAAAAAAGTATTAATAATAATGATAATAAATTAAATATACTTCCATAGATTAATATAGAGAACCTAATGAGATTAAAGTGAAGAGTTTAAAAACTTTTTTATTAATAAAAATAAATTTAAAGAATATTTATTAAAAAATAAATAATTAATTACTTCTTCCATATTGTTAAAATATTTTTCCTATTATATCATTTATTATTTTATTTTTTCAAAAATTTTGAATAACAAACAATTAATTTTTATGTATTAAATCAATAATTTTTAATTAATTATTAATTAGTATTTAAATCAAGAAAATAAATACTTTCATTTTAAATTAATTTGGATAAAAAGAAAAAATATATTAATTATATAATTTATCAAATATCACATAATAAATTTGCTTTCAGGAAAAGATATCTCAAAAAAGTTAGTCTTCAAAAAACATTTTTTATTAATTAACTACTAGGTTTTTTTCAAATATGACTAAATAAATAACTGGCTGTCTCTAATTCGTACTATATATATTTTTAAGTATATGTTTTAAATAAAAATATTTAAGTTTAAATAGTGAATGTTAAATTAATTTTTCTGTGATATCTATCTCTTCATTAAAGCAAATTTATAAATTAATATTTGATAATTAATTAATTATTATATTTATTTGTTCTTTTTATCCATTTATAATTAATTAATTAAATTTCATAAATTGCTATTCAATATCTTTGAAAAGAAAAATAAATGATATAATAGATTAAAAAATATTATAATTTATAAGAAGTAATTATTAATTTTTTTATTAATATCCTTTAAATTTATATAAATTAATAAAAAAAGTTTTTAAGCTCTTCACTTTTATCTCATTAGGTTCTCCATATTGATCTTACGTATATTTAATTAAAAATTATTATTTTTATTATTATTATTATTTTTTTTATATTTAATTTTCAATTTATTTATATAAATAATTTTTATAAAAGAAATTATCATCATTATTTATTGATTTTTATTAAAACTATAATTTTTTAGCTATTTAACATAATTTTCATTTCAATTTTTAATTATTTATTTATTATTCATTTTTTATTATTTGATATTTTTTCTTCATTTTTGCTATTAGAACTTACAATTAATAAAAGCTATTTATTTTTTTTACATTGTAATATTTTTAATTATCAAAGTTAATTTAAAATATTAAAGTTCTTTTAATTTATTTTATTTGTTTTCCTTTTTCTTTTTATTATGATTTCTTATTTTTTCATTCTTTGTTAAATTTATAAATTAATCTTATTAATTCATATTTTTTCTTCATTTTTTCCTCCTAATTAACTTTTGTGAAATACCTATTTAATTTATATCTAAATAACATTATTAATAAAGCTAATTTTTAGAAAGCTTTATTTATTTTTTTTGAAAAAAAAAAATTTTGAAAATCTATGATGGAAAAAGTTTCATAAAAAATATTTAAAATTTTAATTTTATAAAATGTAATAACTGGTATATAAAATTCACTTTTTTAAAATTTTTATAGTAGCTTACTCTATTTAATGATATATTTTTTCTTCATTTTTTCCTTCTAATTAATTATTTAATGATATATTTTTTCTTCAATATTTAAAAAGTAAAAATTAAATTGGTGCAATGGGTGCATCAAGCTTAGGTTCTGCTTTAGTAAATTGCATTAATCTTTCAAAATTGACACTTGACCTTAGGTAAAAACAGTTTATTTGTTTTGGATTGTGATATTTTTAATTTTAAAAACTAATTAAAAACAATAATGCCGTTATTTTCTTTTTCTTTTTATTGTGCTTGCTTTTTATTATTCTTTCTTTGTTAATTTAACTCATCATTTTATTTTCATCTTTTGCTTTTATTATTAATTAATTAATCTTACTCTTTCATTTTTTTCTTCATTTTTTCCTTCTAATTAACTATTTAATGATAAATTTTTTCTTCAATATTTAAAAAGTGAAAATTAAATTAGTGATAGAATAGAATAGAAATACTCGCACATATAAATGCACTCAGAATACATCTTAAAATTAATTTTTATTATATTTATAAATTTATAAATTTATTTTTAAGGTATTTTAGTAATTATTACTATTTCATATGATTATTTTGAATTTTATAAAATGTTAATTTTATTTATTTTATATTTTGTATTTATAATTTGTAAAGGCATTTTCATTTTCGTAATTATTAATAAAAAATCATTATTTTGCATACACCCAGTTTCCTTTTTTTCTAAAAACCTAAAAATTTGATAAAAATAAAACGTAAAATCAGTGCATCAGGCTTAGGTTCTGCTTTAGCAAAATGCATTAATCTCTCAAATTTGACACTTTACCTTAGGTAAAAACAGTTTATTTATTTTGGATTGTGATATTTTTAATTATAAAAACTAATTAAAAACAATAAAGCTCTTTTTTCTTTTTCTTTTTATTGTGCTTGCTTTTTTTTTTTTTCTTTGTTAATTAATTCATCATATTATTTTCAACTTTTGCTTTTATTTTTAATTAACTATTTCATATTTTTTAATAATTTTTTCCTTCTAATTAACTATTTAATGATATATCTTTTCTTCAATATTTCAAAAGTCACAATTAAATTGGTGATGAAGGTGCATCAGGCTTAGATTCTGCTTTAGCAAAATGCATTAATCTCTCAAATTTGACACTTGACCTTCGGTAAAAACAGTTTATTTGTTTTGGATTGTGATATTTTTAATTATAAAAACTAATTAAAAACAATAAAGCTCTTTTTTCTTTTTCTTTTTATTGTGCTTGCTTTTTTTTTTTTTTTCTTTGTTAATTTAAAAATTCATCATATTATTTTCAACTTTTGCTTTTATTTTTAATTAACTAATCTTAATATTTCTTATTTTTTAATAATTTTTTCCTTCTAATTAACTATTTAATGATATATCTTTTCTTCAATATTTAAAAAGTTGGAATAAAATTGGTGATGAAGGTGCATCAGGCTTAGGTTCTGCTTTAGCAAAATGCATTAATCTCTCAAATTTGACACTTAAGCTTCGGTAAAAACAGTTTATTTGTTTTGGATTGTGATATTTTTAATTTATAAAAACTAATTAAAAACAATAAAGCTCTTTTTTCTTTTTCTTTTTATTGTGCTTGCTTTTTTTTTTTTTTCTTTGTTAATTTAAAAATTCATGATTTTATTTTCAACTTTTGCTTTTATTTTTAATTAACTAATCTTAATATTTCTTATTTTTTAATAATTTTTTCCTTCTAATTAACTATTTAATGATATATCTTTTCTTCAATATTTAAAAAGTTGGAATAAAATTGGTGATGAAGGTGCATCAGGCTTAGGTTCTGCTTTAGCAAAATGCATTAATCTCTCAAATTTGAAACTTGACCTTCGGTAAAAACAGTTTATTTGTTTTGGATTGTGATATTTTTAATTATAAAAACTAATTAAAAACAATAAAGCTCTTTTTTCTTTTTCTTTTTATTGTGCTTGCTTTTTTTTTTTTTTCTTTGTTAATTTAAAAATTCATGATTTTATTTTCAACTTTTGCTTTTATTTTTAATTAACTAATCTTAATATTTCTTATTTTTTAATAATTTTTTCCTTCTAATTAACTATTTAATGATATATCTTTTCTTCAATATTTCAAAAGTTGCAATAAAATTGGTGATGAAGGTGCATCAGGCTTAGGTTCTGCTTTAGCAAAATGCATTAATCTCTCAAATTTGAAACTTGACCTTCGGTAAAAACAGTTTATTTGTTTTGGATTGTGATATTTTTAATTTATAAAAACTAATTAAAAACAATAAAGCTCTTTTTTCTTTTTCTTTTTATTGTGCTTGCTTTTTTTTTTTTTTCTTTGTTAATTTAAAAATTCATGATTTTATTTTCAACTTTTGCTTTTATTTTTAATTAACTAATCTTAATATTTCTTATTTTTTAATAATTTTTTCCTTCTAATTAACTATTTAATGATATATCTTTTCTTCAATATTTCAAAAGTCACAATTAAATTGGTGAGGAAGGTGCATCAGGCTTAGGTTCTGCTTTAGCAAAATGCATTAATCTCTCAAATTTGACA